AAAAAAAAAAAACACCAATGATATAATTGAACATTAATTTTACAAAATGTTTTTAGTGAGTGTTCACCAGGAAAATTTCCAAATTTTGTGGATTTAAATTTTTATACTTGTTTTGATCTTATATATATTTCCAAATATGCACCAGATTGTATTACAGAAAATCCAAGTTTCAAAAATTTCGGGGGGAGCCTGCCCCGCCCCCCAGACCCTCCTAGCGGGCTTAGAGCTACGCCATTAGATTTCGAGTCTCATGGAAAAATTAATTTTGGTGGAAACTAGTCACGAAAATTGCTGGATCCACCCCTGGTGGTGTTGCCCAGCTTGAAGCTACCCCACAACAACATTAATAATAACAACGCCGAACAACACTGATCCTGAAGAATACCTATACTGCTCTATTTATAAAAAAGAATTAGCGAATTTCGACACAGCAGCCAAATTGTTTTTCCCCAAAAAAATAAAACATAAGTTCTGTTGATTGCACTGTAATATAAACGAGAGAATAAAGATTTTCTCGTAAATCGTGTCCGCGCACAGCTTCACGCGCCAGGAATTATGTGATGCCACATGGCGACGGGCTTCCTCAACGAGGCTAACATGTGATTCCAATGGGAAAATCCACTTCCGGTCTCCTGCTGACCCAGCAGCACATGACCAACCGTTTTATCGGCACCATGTGAATGTTTGTTAACCACAAGGACCTTGAAGGTAACTTTCGATAAGGCCTCTGAGGTAACTTTGAATGTAAAAGCCTCATTGTATACTGGATTTAAAGTCTTTTTTTGCATGGCGGTTCGCTTCTTACCCAGTCTCGTTTTGTTCAATATAAGTATCACTTTGACTGTTGGGCCTGCAGCGAAAAAAGAAATGGTCGTGTTCTTTGGCGAGAGAAATATCTGTTTTTATTATCCAACTACACTTAAACGAGTACAAATAACGCCATAGACGAGTACAAATATCACGCGGTATTTGTACTCGTCTATTGTAGAGTACCGGTTCAACAGGTTTTCTCGCAACGCGCAATCGAAGAATTGGATTGTAGTTACGACAAAGAAAAGTGGCGGAAAATTTGAATCATATTTCCTACGACGAAGAGTCAAAATGGCTGGCAAATATAGATCCAAGTTTATTAGATGAATCGAATGAAGAAAAACAGCTTGACGACCAGAAAATTTCTTCATTTTATGAAGAAAATAGAAACAGCAACACAACAACGTTCCAAATCCGTTCCGCTTCGCATACTTCTGTCACGCACTCCCCATAAATAAATATCCGCGAAATTCACCCGCTGAAACAACAGTTTGGCGTGTTGGATAATAAATAACTTATTAGACGTTTTGTTGAGTAGTATCGCTGAGTATTTTTACTCGTTATTTGTATTTTGACTCGCCCTACGAGCTCGTCAAAATACGGCACAACTCGTAAAAATACTCAGCGATACTACACAACAAAACGTCTAATAAGA